CACACTTCAGTTCTTGTTTCTGCTTAATGTTTATCTCCAGCACTTGGGGCTGGACTTTACCAGTAGCTGCTCCTGTCTATTTAGCCCACCTGAAGCAGATCATTAATAAGCCTCTGCCTCGCTCTGGGAACTTTGTCAGTGCATTGACTCTGGTTCCTGTATTTGTGTTCTTGATCCAGTGTTCCTGTGCAATATTCATGCTGTCTAATCAGTATCTTGATATGCCACACGTGAGGTGGATGGATTATCTTGGCAAAGGAGAAGTGCTCACTAACAGGCCTTTTGTGTACATAGAAAAAAGTCTTAGATCTTTGAATTCAGCTCATGAAAAATGGGGGCAAAACAAGTGTTGCGTTTATAATTTTGTTCAGTGTAATTTGACCAACATTCTAATCCTTCCTTACGATTGTCAGTGGCGTGGTTCTGCAGTGGGTTTAATGCTGCCCCGTTTAAAGAGATTTTAATTGGAGGACATCAGGCTGTTTATAATACAATGTTATCTGTAAGCTGTGCTCTGGATAACTTGTGGTGATCCCAGCAGATGCATTTGGTTATGCATTCAGTGCCTGGGGAAGTTGGTCATCATTCAGAATAAATTAAGTCTAGAGTAAATAATTTTCAATTGGGTACCAGACCAGTGATTAATGAGTACAAGTATCCTTTAATGCCTGTGATGACACAGCATTGGTCTGTGTATGTGTGTGTGCATATGTCAGTGTGTATGTGTGTGTATATTCTTTGTGTTTGTATGTGTGTGTCAGTGTGTGGCAATGCATGTGTATATTTGCATACATCCTTGCACTCAAACACCAACACTACATGCAAATACAAACATTTCTTGCGATGTTGCGTCTGGTGACATCACGCCCAGTGACGTCACATATATATATATAATTATACAAATTAGCACGGTGTATTTTTACAAGAAAAGTGGCAACGCTAGAACCACATGAGATGTGCTCATATGTGTTTGTGAACATTTATTTCATTATCTTATATGATTCATACTCAGCTTCTGGGACTGAGGCTAAATGAAAACCACAAAACATTTAATTTTCATAAAACTTTATTCTGTTCACATGGACCTTACCTAAACCATAAGAGAGATAGATAGAAAGAAAGAAAGTAGATTCAAACACACTGTAATGAAATTAAACTGAAACTTCCACAAGTTGCAAACTATAGAAACAAAAATTCAGGTCCAAGTTCAATGTGTTTAAACCACACTCTGACATTGGTACAGTACAAAGTACTATTAGCACAAAGACACACCATTGAGTTTATAAAGGTACTTAATCCCAGATGGTTAGGGTTTGCTGAACACGATGTTTGCTCAGTACACTCTCTATTCATACCTACCCCCAACTTATGTATCTTTTTTGATGGGAATTTCCTTACTGCCCACTGGTGCCGCATTAACTCAATTAACAACAATGCTGTGTTAGGCGCCCACTTTTATTATGTGCCACCATAAAAAGAAGTTCCCCTTTTCTATTTTTTTCTCTCTCTCTTTTTTCTTTTCTTTTTTCTTTCTTCTTCTCCTTTCTTATTGCAATCACCAGCAGGAAGGCTGAACTAGGTAGCCTACTTTATTATTAGCTAATAAGAAGAAATAAAACATAAAAAAGGAATATCTATATATCAGGTTTCTCTTTTTCCTTTCTCTTTATTCTCTCCTTCTCCTTCATTCTTTTTCTTTTCCTTCTTTCTTTTATTTTATGTTAAGTAAACAGAAAATAACAGAACTTAGCTTGCCAAAGGAAAATAACAGAATTTAGCTTGCCAAATTCAATATCAGCCACTCTAAACACCACACTGTCCCAGCTTTCTCATTGAGTGCATCAGCTCCTCTTCCAGCATGTTACATCATCACGCCCGTCCATCCCAATCAGGAGTGCAGCCGCACATATGCTTCCTTTTAGCCATCGAGAGAGATTTAGCAAACAGAGGCATTCACGCTATGCATGTTGGGTCTCTCTCGATGGCTGGAGAGAGGCGCATGTCTGCGTGGAGCATGTGGTTGTGCTGGAGACCCGAGGGAAGCAGGTAAAACCCACCACCACCCACCATGAAAGATTATATAGAATGCATCACAAAAGTTCACGTTTCGTATACATATATATCACAAAGTATGACGTATTAATTACATGTAATGAAACATATTTTCTGTTATAAGCCTATGGTTGGTACAGCATCTTCTTTTTCAGTTACCAAGTATACCTTGAATGCTTCAGATTGAAAATACTATTGTGCGTATTTTAATGAATGACACCTTTGTAAAAGTAGCTTCAGAAGCAGAGCAGGCGACCATAGGCTACTGGCTTGAGTTCAGGGTTCAGACAGGGGCCCCATTACTATCACTTTCCTTGACCTCATTCACCATCCTTATAGGACAAACTAATCTTTTTCTGTTTAGAAGCCAGCAAATATACCACACCTGCCAACATTGGAAGGTATGGGATCTGGACGTTGGCGTGCTTACAAGGAACATTTAAAGATCAAATGCTGAAGCCCTCTCTGCTTAGTCCTTGTGGCCGCTGCACAGAGCTGTCTCGTCTTACAATGTGCTCGCACTGTGCTGCCCAAGAACAGTACCCTGGTGCCCTTGGAACTATTTCTGGATGCTGGGACTGGATCACAAAATCAATTTAGGAACCCCGGGATTCTATGGTGAAGGAATGAGCAAAAATTGCTCATGTCCTTGGAAAAATTACTGACCCCACATCTGGTTCATCTGGGTGAGAGGATTTAAATGTAGCTTTAACGCTCTGATCCCCACATATATGGCTTAACATCCTGCAAATCGCAGCAAATGAGTTAACCATATCAGTGTTCTCTCTTTCTTTGTCAGCATTATTCCATACAGCTTGCGGACTTTACCCAGGATCAACCTTGAGTGTACTGTTGGAGCTCAAATACTGCCCATTGGACTTTGTTATTGATCTAGCAGGCTACCTTACAGACAGGATGAAAACAGGCTGATAACAAAGAGCGCGGACCAATAGTCCTTCAACTTTACCCTACATACATTTGTTTGTACACATGTGAACGTGTCATTAAATCCCCGTATTCACAACGCACTTTTTAATTCACCACAATTCTCTAATTAAAGCAGAAAACTCAATTTTGTGTGGGTTCATATAAAACTGATGCCCACTTTTTCAAACATTAACGTGGAAAAAAAATCTCACACAAAACTAACCTCTAGCTGCAGTGGCACCTAACTATAAGTTACATAGCTCAACACTTAGGAGCAGTTTGACATAGATTGTGGCTCTTCCCGAAGATCAGATCTTCCTCAGCGACACTGATAATGTAGAATTTACTCTCACATATTAAGGTCAAATTGGTCAAAGAACTTGTGTTTTTTGTTACAAAGGAGAGAGTGGTTTATGTTTCACAGATTCCAATCCCTTTCTAACAAGATCCTCAGCCAAAAAAGAAAGTTTCCCATACAACAAATGTTTCCATTCTGTTCTATAGACACAAAACCAAGTTTCAGAATCGTTCCAGTAACAGGCATCTTTCTTCTATAATTACCTATCTAGTCTTTAAATGATCAACCTAGCAATTTCTTCAACTAAAACTAAATTAAAGTCGTACACATGTCATTCATCATACTAAAAGGATATATTTTTTTTACCGGTATTTTATTTTTTTTTATTGTGAATTGCAGAAAGTGAAAAGGCAAAAAAGGTAGGGTTCAAGGCCAGGAATTATTGACATGAAGGGTCGAGAGCCAGGGCCATTTCTGGCTACTAGAGTAGTATCTATCTATAAATATATTTAAACTAGTATTTTTTAAGTAATGGTTAGGTGGTATGTAACGCACACATTCATTTGCACCCCCTAATGCGTGTCTTTGTACATGCCTATTGACAAGTGAATTAAAAACTTTAGACATTTTGGTTTTCTATTCCAGCTGTTTTAAAATATGCAGTGCCGTGGTCAAGTCCAAGTTTACAGAAAAACTCTGTTAGAAAAATGGAAAAAAATCAGTTCCATAAATGTGTATTTAGCTGAATCCTCGTGAATCTTTCCTACAAGTCTCTATCATTACCAAGGTCCTCTTCCAGGTCTCCTTCAGTATTCCTACTACACCCTACAGGGTTGCCATCAGAAATTTTGGGCCCCTGACACAGCTCAAGTTCTGGGCCCCTGGGACCCGCCCCTGAGATCGACCACTTGGCGGCCCCCGAGTACACCCACAGGGCCCATACTGAGTCCACTGATAAGGATGAAGTGTGTGTGTACTAAATGTGGTATGTGTGTAAAGTGGATGCAGAGTGCGTGTGTGTCGTGGATGCAGTGTGTATAGTGGATGCAGATTGTACGTTTGTGCAGTGGATGTAGTGCTTGTGTGTATTATATGCAATGTGTATAGTCCTGGCAGTCCTGGACTACTCTGAGAGTCCCGGGCCACACATTCCCTAATTGCACATATTTATAGCAACTATCGCAATATATGTGCACTGCGGGCCCCTGGCTACCTCTTACTGCATTTTGATACAATTGAGCATTCCAGAGCAGTTGGCTCTTGTTCTGGATTTCCAGTACTGTTCTGTAACCAAATTGCCAGCTCTGTCTATAAACCAACACGTTGAACTGGCCAATCATATTGGTTTGGCCAATATCCACTGGCCCCCCCTACAAGGTGGGTATGTTGGTCATCAGCCAAGTTTAGGTAGCGACTGTTAATCTAGGATTTCAACCTGTGAAGAAGATGGCTGCATGTTGCATGGAACAATGTTTGGCCAAGTATGTTCATGTGCTGAGGCTTCTGTCTAACCCCTCAGTCAAAGGTGGCCACCTTGGATCATCTAATGGTTAATTTGGCTATGTATGTACAATGCGTGTAAAGCCACGATTACTTAAATCATTGTAAATATTACATGTAAACATAACACCTACAAAATGCGTAACAGATGTTTTAAAACTGTTTGCTTGTGCTTAATGTCCCAGGATAATGTGTACACAGTGTCACTCAGCTCCCATGCCCTCTGACCGGCATCATGCACATTTTGTCATCCTGCTCTATGTGTATATGAGAGATGCAGAACAAGCAGATATCACATCACCTTGCTCATCGCATGCACACCTGTACAGAACAGGTGTATTGGGATTCTCACCTGCTTCTGCATGAGTATGATTAATCTACTGTGCTTCCTAATGGCCAAATTGCAACATTTCCCAAAATAGATCTAGCCCCTGACATGTTATGTGTTTCTCTTCCAAGGTCAGGTGAGCCAACATTTCTATGAGGGACGTCCTCATTTCTATGAGGGACGTCACAGGCTGAATACTTTGTGTCGCTTCCCTTCCTTTAAAAAGTGAACAGAGATTCCACATTGAATGACTCTAAGGGAGTGTGACCAGAGAACATCAGAGGGCAGTGTGTACTTAGAGTGCAGTGTATCTCTCTCTGCCTCTCCTAACGGCTCAGAATTCCATCACATCACATCTCAGCAGGTATTGTGTAACTGGAAGCAATAAGAGAATCATTTCTTAACTACTCACAGGTAAGCATTTATTTAATATGTCTATGCAATCACATATGGAAAGAAAGCTTTGCTCTAAAAGAAAGGTATACGTAGTCATTGTTAATAGCTGCATGGTTTTACGCTCCTGTGTGTTCTGAAGAGCTATCTTTCCAGTTTTATTTACTAAAACACCTGTTGCTGAAGAGTTTAACTTGAGTGGGGAAAGCTGAACTTGAACGTGTTCTCAGCAGGCTATAAGCCCCTCCTCTGAGGATTTCCTAGTTCCAAGGGGATGTACGTTTAATGCTAGATTGGTTAATTAGAAGCTGCCATGTATTATAATTGCAATGAAAAGTTTCTAAATCTGTTTATGATCTGTGAGGATCAGGACCTGTTAAGTAGGAATGGAAAATTTAGGCCGAGATTAAGACTCCATGCTTGGAGAGGAGTGAAGGTTTTATTTAAACTTAAAGGAAGATTGCAAGACATTGCTCATTTAATAGGCTATTATCCAAAGTTATGCCAAATATTAGTTAATATGCTATGGTTGGGGAAAAGTAAAGTTGTTAATAACATGGAGGGGAAGCTAAGTGGTATTTGAAGTATGATATTATGCTAAATGACGGCATGTGACACCAGAATATGGACCAACACATCTGATCACCCAAGTTTTATTTGCATGATACAGGGTGCATGGTTGTTGCAAGACAAATATGGCTTAACAACTCAAAGATAGTCTTTTATTTCCAAGATGAAGTACGGTAATAAAAAAATTAATGGACTTTTAAGCTTTCTAATCTATGAAGTCCTGCTCAGTTTGGAACAATTTAATATTCGATATTGACCAGCATAAAGAATAAAAACACTTCCTCGAGTGAATGAAAATCACTGCTAACTAATTAACTCAAGTATCTGTTGACAATTTTTTAACCAGTTTCAAGTTTCTTGGAGAAAGAGGAACGGGATCAGGTCCCTGGTAAAACCTCAAAAAATGCAAAGTTCAGAGGAAGATTTTATTTTTTGTAGCATGGATGTTTGAGGATAGTGGAACATGTTTGGGTGGGATACTGGCTGGTGGGTTCAAGGTTCTATCTGGAGGGTTCTAAGCTCCTTTTGTATTTGTTAGTCAAATTTCGTATTATCTCTCAGGTATATTGTAACCTTGTCTTTTTAATTGTCTCATTTTGCACTCATGGATAGCACTGTGGAATGTGTTTGCACTTTATAAACAAAGTGTAATGATAATAAAGTAGATAATGTAGGAAAACCAAGGGAAAGGCGACAATTATATTTTACCAGGATGTAGCTTCCTATGAATTAGTTAGAAAGAGTTAAAAAAATATATGTAAGAACTGCTGTTGACTAATCCACCCACAACCACGTGATTATGAAGACAAAATCACCTGTAAATAATTAAATTGTAATACAATATATTGTTTTATGGCAACAGGTTCAACCCATACATAAGATATTGTTGCCATTAGCATCTAGTATAGAGTTGTTTTGTAAACCTTTTTAGTATGTTATCAAACTAATGAAAGAAATACAGATATACACTAAAATATATAGAAATATATGTAAAAAATGGACATCTCCATAAAGGTCAGGCTAGGCATAGAAAGATGATGGATGGATGGATGGAGAGAGGGATGGATGGAGAGAGGAATAGATGGATGGAGGGATGGATGAATGGAGAAATGGATGGATGGATGGATAGAGAGAGGGATGGATGGATGGAGGGATAGATGGATGGATGGAGAGATGGATGGATGGATGGATGGATGGATAAAGCGAGGGATGGATGGATGGATAGAGAGAGGGATGGATGGATGGAGGGATGGATGGAGAGAGGGAAGGATGGAGGGATGGATGGAGAGAGGGAAGGATGGATGGATAGAGAGAGGGATGGATGGATGAAGAGAGGGATGGATGGATGAAGAGAGGGAGGGATAATTAGATGGATGGATGGATAGAGAGAGGGATGGATGGAGAGAGGGATGGATGGGTGGATGGATTGAGGGATGGATGAAGAGAGGGAAGGATGGATAGATAGAGAGAGGGATGGATGGATGAAGAGAGGGAGGGATAATTAGATGGATGGATAGATGGAGAGAGGGATGGATGGAGAGAGGGATGGATGGATGGATGGAGAGAGGGATGGATGGGTGGATGGAGGTATAGATGGATGAATGCAGGAAGAAAGGGGTAGGGAGGGATAAGGGTATGGAAGGATGGATGAACATACAGAAGGACAGACAGCTGGATAATTGGAGTATGCATCCAGAGGTGAGTCATTTGGACATCAAGACTTTCTGTAGGGAAATAGTGGGACAATGATATATGGGAATTACTTTTTCCAAAAATCAGTTGGGGCAAATTGTACAAAATGGCATGCAAACCAGTGGACAATGCACTTATAAGAAATCCCAGTATGTACATGCTTTATGTGATCCATTAAAAATTAAGATATATATATACAGCAAAAAAAATCATTATGAAAATAAATGTAGAAAGACAATATTTTCTTACGTTTCATTGTTGTATTAAGTTCTCCGGGGCTCAAGTATTTGGTCTCTAAATTCTGGTGGTTTCCTTTGAATCAAAGTTTGCTTTCTATCCTCTAGTGAGCTCTGCGTGCTCTGTGATAATATCGTATATGTTAAATATAACTATAGTCACTCATATCTATATATGGAAAGTCAAATGTCAATTATACTAATGCCACTGCATTTTCTTTCCCAGGAGTCAGAGGTGTCTCTCCGTATCAAACATCAGGATGCTCAGATCAAGTTTGATACTTCTACTACTACTCATTGCTCTGACAGGTAAGTCTTACAAGTAAAAATAAAAATCCTATCCCCCTATAACAAAATGAGAGACCAGACAATAAAACCTCACTCTCCTGAATTCGTTAGCATGTCTAATAGTGGCAGGTTAGTCCAGCAGGTTAGCCCTCAGCATTGGGAGGTATGCGATCAGGATGGGTCGGTGGGCCTGTCTGGCTGGCCTCTAATCTACAGGACCTTGCAGAGTGCTTCTGAAGATCTCCGTGCAGGGACATTGTGCTCATTCACACCAGAACGCATTTAATGATGCACTTGCCATCAGTTGTGATCACCAGAAAATGATATCTCCATTATCAAGGATGCTGAAGATCTTTTTTTGCCCTAGACAGTTTCCCAAAAACAATAGGATGACATCTATAGATTTTGTTTTGCAATAAACACTACAAAAAACTGCAGTTGTTATGGTGCTTAGAGTGTCCCTTTAATCTATGAGTAAATTATATATTAAATTATAAAGCATGGTTTCTAGCCTCGCACAGAAGCCCACAGATTCGGTGAGCCTTTGGTTCATTTGTCCTATTTTGCATATCCTTTCGTACCGTGTTGTCAACATGTCTAGTGTGATATGATGATGACAGAATTGGGCTGCCGTTCATCCAGAATAAGTGTATGTATGCTGTGGAGTGTCGTTATTTTTTCCACTTGGACACTATGAGAGCGGTGAGCAGATCTGTCATTCAGCTCACCGCTCGTGAACACGCACATCGCACACATGCACAGTGTCAATTTCACAGCTTCTCGTAGAGAATCATTGACTTCAAATATTCAGAATATTGAGAAATATTTGATTGTCAAAGCGTGGCAAGTGCCTATGGGTCACAATGCTTCTCTATTAGAAGCTAATAATTGGACCAGACAAATTGCCACAGGGAGACTTCAAACGCCTAAGGAATACAAGTACGTAAATACATATAACAAGTAGGTTAATTACAGGGCGGGTACTACTATTTATTGATTATATAAGGATTAATGATCTGACAGCAGTACAGTGTTCCTTTAGGGAAATATAAACTAATATCTGGTCAGGGAACAAAAATGATAAAATGTGGTTGTTACTTTTAGGGATCTGGTCAGTAAATAGCGAGGTCATGGGGAGCTGACAATCAACTTATAACATGTACACCAATATAGACAGCTAAGAAAATGAATCGATTTATTTTGTTTAAATTCCAATATTTTGCAAGTAGTATGTTGGCTCATGTTTTAGTGAATAAACAGCCTAATCTTTTATATTGAGTTTTTATTTATTTATTTTTATACTTTAATTTAACACATGTTCCTTCTAACAGGTTGCCAAGCTGACAATTCCCGCAGTAGATTCTGGGATTATTTCAGTCAACTGACCAGTGAGAAGCATCGATGGGACATACAGAATAATGCAGTACGAGATGGCAGGTAAGATAAAAAATTAAATTTTACGCATAAATATTAAAGATTTTGTCTGATTTTTATAGTGCTTATTCAGTTACATGCTGCAGTAGCAACATCATTCATTACTTAGAATAAATGGGTTGGCAGACTAGACAGTATGTGATAAAAATATTTTAAAGTATACAGAGGACCCCAATATTTTAAAGTATACAGAGAGCCTGATCATAACCCTCCGGCCCCTCACCTCAATGGAAGGGTAGAAATGTTAAGGGTAGATGCTGTCACCTCCCCTGTCCACCTTCATTAAATATGCACCTTAATTTCCCATGTACACTTCAGGTAAAACTCCATCTTCTAGACTTCACCACCACAGGTTGCTAGGTATAGCATTCATTGTCGCACTTTTAATTGTTAAAATGTTTTAAATTTTATGTATATTTTTTGTTTTGTTTTCTTTTATTACCTATAGCGGTCTGAAGGGCAGTATTCAAAATGGAGTTAATTATGTGGGCAACTTTTTGGGGCCATTGAAAAGTGGCTTACAGAAGCGACTGTATGAGGACTCTGACGGGCTGCGCAGGTTGATCAACAGGGAGATACAGGAGCTCCGTAGGAAGTTATACCCATATATGGATGTAGCACACCAAAAGATCAGCAGTAACCTTGATCAGTTACGGAGTCGTCTGCTGCCCTACACTCAAGAGCTGAAAGAGCAAGTGGAATGGGGTGCCCAAGAACTCCATGTACAGCTTGGACCATACAGAGATGGTAGCAAGATGGAAGCTTTACACAGACTGGGGGAAAACCTTGAGAACCGTATAGTCCTGCACACAGGCAGGGTCGGGCAAGTTTTCTACCCACTGGCTGATCGCTTGTTATTAGAGATCCATCATGCAGTAGAAGAGTTACATGGAAACCTAGCTCCTCATGCTCAAACATCTCAGGAGATATTGAGTCAGCAAGTGCAGGATCTATCTCGGAAACTGACTCGGAATGCAAAGGATCTTCATGAGAAGATCCAGAAGAATCTAAATGAGTTGAAGGAGCAGTTGGTGTCCTATCCAAAAGAACTGAAGCAAAAGTTTCCCCAGGGCCAAGAAGCAGCACTTGAACCTGTAGCACCCTATATGGAAGAAATGGCGGCTCAGGTCCAGAGAGAGGTAGAGGAATTCCACAAGAACACTCAAAAACAGATTGAAGACTTCACCCGTGTCATTAATATGGAAACTGAAGAACTGCAACACAAATTGTCTCCTGCCTCATGGGACTTTCAGGACAGTGTCAGTTCAGTTGAAGATGTGCAGGAGAAATTAGACTCCTTGTGGAAGGACATATCCCAAAGTCTCAACTAGATACTAATAAATAGACTTGAGAAAACAGATGATGCATTACAACAAAAAATGTCCACATTACTTTCTGAAGTGGATCACAAAGAGGTGTGAAAATGAAGGAATGCACCTTAATTTAAAAATATTACTTATGAGCCAAGCTTCATAACTTTCTAATTTAGAAAATGAGTACCCATGTGTTTTACTAAGAAACAGGTGATATTATTTTAAATGTATCCTTTCTTTTTTTAAGGAAGATGTATATAGACCCCTTCCATGGTTAGGGTAATTATAATAAAAATTATAGTAATAAGTATATCACATGAATGCGCATGTTGATATCAAATGTAAACGCACAAAGATATAAATACAGCCGTGTAATTAGGGAAAAGACTTTGCGAATAAATGTTGAGTTGTGAGAAGAATAGAGCAACAAAGACATAATTCATGGACTCTTGACTCCTGAAGGAAGAGGGAGTGTCTGCAGAAGGGCAGTAAACTAAATGAGGAAAATGACAGTTGACAAAAGCCCAAGACATGTTACATTGGTGGCAAAATAAACTCAAAATTCCTAATTACATATTGTGTGATAAGGTCATCGGTGGCATGAAAGCAATGGGTACAACTATGTCAAGAATCTCGAGGTTCTTTTGTTTCTATTATGTTCAACCACAATAAAGATTCCATCTTGACATTTTCAGACATAATCTTTTTATCCTAGAACCAGAAAGACACTTCTGAAGCACGTTGTCAAATTAACATGACTTTATTGACGTCACGGCCAAAATCGACAGACAAAATGGCCCTTTCGAAACTTGACAACGTTAGATTTTTAAATATGACCAGATCGCTTTAGTTGTGGCTTTAATAAAGGCTGATCAATGGGTCTGAGGTACATTGTAGAGTGGGATGTTGAGGTCTCTGCATAATGATCCACACATGACTGATCACTTGTACAAGAGTTGGAGAACCTTGCATGGTTATTTACTAAATAATCGAGAATTGAACGTGAATACAAAGTGAATTTCATACTTAAGGTCAAAATAGCCAAAAACTAGAAAAATTCTCTATGTAAGCTAAGCTTTAAGCTCAGCTGCTCTGGCCTTAAATCCGAAATTTACTTTGAATTTACTTCCAAATCTGACTTTAGAAAATAACCCTGTTAGTGGAAAGGCATGAAACACAAGGGGAATTCCAATGCGTTCCATACCACCTCATAGTCCTGCTGCTTTAAGACATATTCCTCTGTTTCTCAAAGATTACAATAATTATATATATTATTTGTTAATAATCATGACAAGTTGGTTTACAATTTTTTTTCTTTACAGATTTTCTCTCATAGTGAGCTAAAAGTCTTTAGAGTTGAGGGTGTTTTAGGGCTATTTAGGGTTAGGAGTGCGTAGGTGTGAGGTTGGTTGAAGGTTAGGGTTTATCTGCCATCATGATGAAGCATCATTGTTATGACCCTCAGGGACATTTAAAAGGTACACATTAGCAGGATAGAGCTGGAGTGAACTGTAGGCTTGCCTATAGGACCCAAACTCTCTGATCATGTGGTTCCTATTAGTTTACTTGTATAGCTTGGTCCCAAAAAACATGTCTATACATTGTCTGGAAGCATTGGAGGCTGGTCCACAGGCGCCATTGGGTTGGCAACTCCCCCTCCCTGCAAAAAAAACCCCCAAAAAACATAAATAAATAAAGTCTATTTGCATTGTATGGACTGCTGATAGGTGCGTGTTAGAAAAAAACAAAAAGGACTCTCCATTTCATTATAAATTGTAGGTGCTGGCTTAATGGGTATTAAACGTCATGCTGCCAAATGGACACCGAATAGTTTAAATTACATGTTTGGACAGTTGGAAATTAGAACAACAATTCGTCATTGTGACGGTCCAACCCTCTCTGACCGTCTTGGGTTCCCTTTCTCCCAGTAGTTCGTGAATAATCCTTCCAGGCAGAGTGTAGACACAAGCATAGCATAACCCCTCACACATGAGCCGAGGTTTAATGCTGGGTAGAGATCTGTTTAATGCACACAAAGCAACAGTATTCATGCAGTAAAACCACTCCTGCTCTCAGGAAAACAAAATGACAGTTAAAAGGGTTAGACAGAGTTTGAAAATATGACAGTTATAAGGTCAGACAGAGTTTGAAAATATGACAGTTATAAGGTCAGACAGAGTTTGAAAATATGACAGTTATAAGGTCAGACAGAGTTTGAAAATATGACAGTTATTAAGGGTTTAAACTGGTGTTCTAAGAGGGGGGAGAACAAAACAGTCGAACTAAGTCCATAAAACAGGGGCCTTCTTCACAGTCATATTGGCTGCTTATGCCTCTGCTGGAAATTAAGTGTCAGTTCTTCTGCTTAGATATAATTTTCCAAGAGATAATTACCACCTTACATATGTTTCTTTTTGTGCTGTGCCTGTACTGTATTCTATACTGAATAAAATCAAAGCATAGCATTCCTCACTGCCAGGGCCGTCTTTAATAACGAATGGACCCTGGGCAAGTGTTTGCTTGGGCCCCCTGTGCCCTGCCGCTCTCGCCCCTCACTCCCTGGTATGCAATCACGGCATCCATCCCAACGCAGTGGCAGTACTAAAGTAGAATGAATTTTATTGGGACCCCCAATTGCAAGGTTGGACTAAAGGTAGAACCCCATCTGTCGTGCAACTCCAACAATGCTTTGACAGCTGGGACTCTACCAATTTCCCATGCTTGCAGGGTTGTATTTAGCACTGAGCCATGTTAGTATGTTTGAATGTAAGCATGTGTTTGTATGGAGTATGTTTGTGTGAATGTGTTTGTATGTGGTACTGGAGTTTGAATGCAAGTGTGCATTTATGTGTAGTGTTTGTTTTTGAATGTAGGAGTGTGCTTGTATGTAGTGTTGACGTTTCAATGCAGGAGTGTGTTTTATATGTAGTGTTGAAGTTTGAATGGAGGGGTGTATTTGTATTTAAAGTTGCGTCTCAGATGCACAGGTACACACTCTGACGCACAAGCAGATACACAGATACATACACTGACTACATACAGATAAACAGGCACATACACTGACAGACACACTGACACAGGTACATATATTGACACACACACAGACACATACACTGGTAGACGTACTGACAGACATACTGACACAGGCACATATACAGACATACTGACACACAGACACATATACCGACATACTGACACACACACACAGACACATACACTGATCAACATACTGACACACATACACTGACAGAAATACTGACACCCACACACTGACAGATATATTGACACCCACATACACTGAGAAATACTGACACACACACACAGGCACATACACTGACACACACAGACTGATATACTGACACACACACAGACATACTGGCACACAGACAGATATACTGACACATGCATACACATGCACTAACAGACATACTGACGCACTGACAGACATACTGACACATACACATACTGACACACACAGATATACACACACATATATACTGACACACAGACAGACAGACATACTGACACACACACAGACATACCGACACACAAACACACATACACTAACACACTAACACACATACACTAACACACAAACACACACACTAACACACATAAACACACACATACATACACTAACACACACATACATACACTAACACACACATACATACACTAACACACACTAACACACAAACTCACATAAACACACACATACATACACTAACACACAAACACATACACTAACACACACAAACACACACACTAACACACACGCACACACTAACACACTAACACACACACACTAACACACAAACATACATACACTAACACACACATACATACACTAACACACACACACTAACACACAAACACTAACACACAAACTCACATAAACACACACATACATACACTAACACACAAACACATACACTAACACACACACTAACACACATACACTAACACACAAACACACACATACATACACTAACACACACACAAACACACACACACACACACATACACTAACACACACAAACACACACACACATACACTAACACACAAACACACACACACACATTTTTTTTTTTAATGTAATACCCCCAGCCTCCTTACCTTTTGGAGTGCTGGGGGATTCCCTGGGGTCCAGTGGTGCTGCTGGGCTCCTGGGTGGGTGGCCGGTCGGGCGGGCAGGAAGGCGGGCGCGCGAGGGAGCACTCAGTGCTTCCTCTTCAGCTCCCTCGCGCGCCGCGTAGGGATGCCGGCGCCGGAAGATGACGCCATCTTCCGGCTCCGGCATCAGTGCGGTGCGCGAGGGAGCTGAAGAGGAAGCATTGAGTGCTCCCTCGCGCGCCCGCCTTCCTGCCCGCCCGACCGGCCACCCGCCCGCCGGGGTCAGCGGGGCCCACGGGGCAGGTGCCTCGGGCCCCCCAAGAGAAACTGGGCCCGGGGCAGCTGCCCCGTTTGCCCCGCGTTAAAGACGGCCCTGGGAATGTTTGTGAATTATGATGCTGGAATGATTTGGGAATGTGTGTGAATTATGATGCTGGAATGATGTGGGAATGTTTGTGAATTATGATGCTTGAATGATGTGGGAATGTGTGTGAATTATGTTGCTTGAATAATATGGGAATGTTTGTGAATTATGATGCTGGCATGGTATGAGAATGTGTGTGAATTATGATGCTGGAATGATATGGGAATGTTTGTGAATTATGATGCTGGAATGATGTGGGAATGTTTGTGAATTATGATGCTGGAATGATATGGGAATGTTTGTGAATTATGATGCTGGAATGATATGGGAATGTGTGTGAATTATGATGCTGGAATGATTAGGGAATGTTTGTGAATTATGTTGCCTGAATGATGTGGAAATGTGTGTGAATTATGTTGCTGGAATGATGTGGGAATGTGTGTGAATTATGATGCTTGAATGATGTGGGAATGTGTGTGAATTATGTTGTTGGAATGATACGGGAGTGTTTGTGAATTATGATGCTGGAATGATATGGGAATGTTTGTGAATTATGATGCTGGAATGATTTGGGAATGTTTGTGAATTATGTTGCCTGAATGATGTGGAAATGTGTGTGAATTATGTTGCTGGAATGACGTAGCAGAATAAGTCATTTGAAAATAAAGCAACAGAACAGCAGAAAAAAAGGACCTGACAGCATTCAGCTTCAGATTTGCTGCAGGAATCGCACATGGCATCACTTGTCCCGAGCAGCAGGCAACTTGAGATATTCAAAAGAAATTATGCTTTGATAAATATCTGACAGCTTCCAAAATAAAGCATTTCCACTCATCTATATATCCACAATGTCTTGCTAAATGGTAATCCAGAGCCTGCATGCCTTTGTTATGGGGAAATATTGAGTAAAGGGATACGATGGCTTTGATGACAAAAGGGGAACCTTCTTCATGTCGTACTCCTCTAGGCCAGCCAAAATGTACTTAATATCCCTAATGTAGTTATAAAATGTAATTACTAGGTATAATTAGACTTTCCAAAAGACTTTCATTAAAAGATCACTTCATGCACCATAACCACTACAGTCCACTGTACAGTCCACCTTTCCCAATATTCCTAGTCAAACCGTATAACAGCTTTTTATTTCTTACCGTATAGAATCCCTTTAAGAACAGGAAGGTGCTCACTAACTGGGAGTGCTCAGCTGACACTACACTGCTGGATTTAGTTTAGGGGTACTAAAGGACTCTTTTCTGTTAGCAGGAGCTTCTGCCAGAGGCGTCAGCGCTCCATTTAAGTTATTGGTTCAGCTTGTGCCTGGGTGTCTAAGCACCACAACCACTATAGCGGGCACTAAAGGTTATGAAGATTGGAGTGTGGGATCCTGCCTTTATAATCTTTGGCAGAGGGTGAATGATCAGCTTGATGGATTGTCCTGACCCAACATGTTGACATCCATCTAAATATCTAAATTCATTCATAGTTACATAGCTGAAAAGAGACCTGCGTCCATCAAGTTCAGCCTTCCTCACATTTATTTTTTGCTGTTGATCCAAAAGAAGGCAAAAAGACCCAGTTTGAAGCACTTCCAATTTTGCAAAAAGCTAGGAAAAAAACCTTCTTGACCCCAGAATGACAGTCAGATTTATCCTTGGATCAAGCAGTTATTACACTACATTGAAAGATTATGTCCTTGAATATTCTGTTTTTGCAAGTATGCATCTAGTAGCTGTTTGAACATCTGTATGGACTCTGATAAAACCACTTCTTCAGGCAGAGAATTCCACATCCTTATTGTTCTTACAGTAAAAAAACCTTTCCTTTGCCTTAGAAGAAATCTTCTTTCTTCCAGTCTAAACGCATGACCTCGTGTCCTATATAAAGTCCAGTTTGTGAATAGATTTCCACACAATGGTTTGTATTGGCCCTAAATATATTTGGATAATGTTATCATATCCCCTCTCAGGTGACGTTTTTCTAAACGAAATAGGTTTAAATTTGTTAACCTTTCTTCATAGCTGATAAGTTCCATTCCTTTTATTAATTTTCTAACCCTCCTCTGCACTTTTTCTAGTGCCATCCATTTAATATCTAAAATCAATATTAATCTCATTCAAAATCTAGTAATAGGCTCCTGAATTAGTACTGATGTCTGGCATTAGCTACATAATCACATATGTACAATATAACTATAGCACCTCATGT